CGGCTAAAGCCGCGAAGATCACCGCGCTATCAAGATTCTTCAAAGAATGGAATCCTAGGAAGACAGTAATCCAAAATATGGATGCCCCTGATATGGTCATGACTGGTGTTGAATCTGCGGATGCCGATCTAGGAGAGCCGATGGCATGTCGCCGTCTGCTCCAGATGCTGCCTCCCTCATTCTCACAGTTGAGCTTATTCTGGTCTATGAAAGCCTCATCTGATCAAACACTGCCGAATCTGTATGAAGCCATTAAACTTCACGCAGAAACCATCAGTTCCAAAAAGTCCTAACAGCGATGTTCTCTCAAACGTCAAATCGATCTAATCGACGATCCCGTCCGAATAATCAACCAAGCTTCCAACGTCCTAACTTCAATCGTCGAAGTTTTAATTCTACCCCGAATTATTCCTAAAATAATTACAAGCAACGAGACAATCGTAATAACTATCAACCATCCCGTCGATCCAATTCCGGTCGACAGCAAAACAATAATAATCCCAATCAAGAGCGTTCCCGCTCCAATCGACCGAATTTCTCTCGTCCCAATCAAAACAGATCGAATGCCAATCGCCAACGCCGTCCTACTCCAGCCTCCGCAATTGTGACTGAAGTCACTCCGCACAGTGATGATGACGTTGAGATCTTCACTGCTACCGTTTCCGAGTTCGACTATGATTCGTCTTCTTGGCTTATCGATTCCCGTGCGTCGCATCACATCACCAATGACCTAGCCTACATCCAGAATTACTCTGAATACGGCTCACCTCGCACGGTTAAAGTGGGGGGGAGACCAAAGGCTTTCGGCGTTAGGTGAAGGATTCGTGCGGCTTTAGCCAGACTCAACTCACGGTGAAGCCGTGCTGGATCTGTCTCATGTGCTCTACGTTCCTCAGATGCGCCGCAATCTGATCTCGATGGCTTCTCTCATGACTGATAATTGGTCAATCATAGCCACTGAGACTTCTCCTCATCTGAGCCGGGACTTAGCTACTCTTGAGGCTCCGATGGTAGATGGTCTTTTTGCTCTCCGAGCAAGATCCGTGTTAGTTCCCTTTAACGCCGAATGCTTTCTCACTTCGTCACGAACATTAAGCTTGCAAGGTGCTCATGAAATGCTTGGTCATCATATAAATAAACGCCACGTTAAAGAATTCTTAGCTCGAGAGGGGATTCCCTTTAGGGATAACCAGATCACTTAAGCAGCTGGTCTTCAAGGAAAAATGAACAGGTCTAGCTATCATTCGAAGCCGACCTCTTCAATACCACAGTCCCTGGGTTATATCTCAACTGATCTATGCGGACCAATGGCCACTGTATCCCTTGGAGGAGGAAAATACTTCATGAATATGCACGACCAATACTCCAAATTCAACAAATTAGTCATTCTCAAATCGAAAGATGAAGCTCCTGATCTCATCTAGCAATTCATTGTCTGGTTCAAAAATCAGACCGGCTCCGATATCAAACAATTATTCTCTGATCGCGGCTTGGAGTTTGATAACTCCAAAGTGAGAAAATCTCTCTCGGCCGTGGGAGCCGAATTGGTAATGAGCAATCCTTACGCCCATCAGCAAAATGGAAGAGCCGAAAGGAGCAATCGAACCATAACAAAATTAGCACGAACATTACTTATAGATTCAGGCCTTCCAAAATGTGACATGATCAGTAAGAGCGGGAGGCAAACCTTCGCGCCGCAGCACGACAGCGGTCGGTGCTAGAATGCCCATTGCTGACCCCGTCACCAGTACGGTGACACATTCTTTTTCGGACTCTCCTCGAGCATAAACATGGCGCGATTCTCGAACGGCGAAAACCTTCCCCCTTGAGGGTGCAGTGCCATCGCAGTTTCATCACTGTTGAATACGCGACTTGGATTACTCAGAACAGCCATCAAAGTATCGGATAGCCGAGTTCTGGTCTGCTCGAAATACGACTGGACGTCGTTCCTCGAGAGGCAGGCTTGAGCATTGGAAACATGTTCGGGTCTTCTCGGAACTAGTTCGCTGTGACGCTTACAGGAGGACCGCACCCATTTCTCAGCAGAAGTGACCTTAGAGGCTCGCTCATTTCCTTGCTTGTGTGCCACTTTTGCCGGTTTCAGTCTGACTTGTTGAAGGGCATTGCGAGAAACAGGAAATCCCATTCTGGCTATCTTCTTGATCCAGTCAACTATAGCCTCCTCAGTTTGACCCAAGACTGGGCGAGAACCAGGTCGCCGCCGTCGAGGTTCGTCGTTACTCGTTACGACTTTTTCTCAACGATGTGGACGGCGGATTGCAGTACTGCCTCGCCGCTGCCCTCAGGGGAGTGCCCCTTCTGAGGGATGATATAACATGGCCTTCTCTAAATCGGCATCGGTGTATCGAGCTCTCTGTAATCCGAAATGTAGCATATTCTTCATTTGAACAAGGCCCTTTTCAGGAAATGAGGGTTTGACGAAAGTTCATACCAGTCAGCTTACCGCAGGCATTTTGCATCAAACCGCGCTCGAAGTCCACGTCGGACTGTACTTATGGGATCACTTCGCGTATTCGATCAGGTGCGACATTTGGGTTCAAGAATGTGTATTGAAGTGGTATGTGTGACAGTCACACGATATTACGTGTGATGTCGTATCACACAGCTATTCAGTGATCAGAGGAGCGGAACCTTCGTCGTTTCTCTCCTAAACATCACTCTCCGAAGTCATCTCGTCCTCTCATTGGGCATCATGAGGAAATCCTCAATAAACGTTCTGCGCTCCCGCCAATATCCTGCGGTGTTCAAAAACTGGTCAGCCCTCATAGGACTCGGGACCAATCAGAGTACACCGCTTCTTCTGTTTCCCAAGAGGCATATCGGACATTTCTCATGGAGCACCTCGAGCACCTGGAGCTACTTGACCATGGTTCTGCGACCCAATGCAATGATGCTGATATCCTAATCGATCGACTACTGTCGAAACAGTTGCGATCTCGATCACACTTAGCGAAATCACCCGCAGTCGGGTCCAGCAATGGACTCCACAGGAACTAGATCTCAAGAAGAAGAATAATGGTGAAGGAAAGAGACTTGCTGGTGCTGGCAGGCCACTCTTGGACCAGGAAACGGACGCTTTAGTCTACGATTTTATCCGAGATCAACGTCGTAAGCAGTTCTGAGTCACACGGTCAATGATTCGTCAGTATGCCAGGAAAATTTCGACGCGATGAATTCTTGAAGCGTCATCGGTTGGCGAATCGGCGACCGACGACCGTATGCCAGAAACCACCGTTGCGGTGCTTTGTTTATGAGGACTGCGACAGTTCTTCTGTTTCGAACAACATGAGCTGTCTGATCGGCTTCAAGGAAAGCAGCGATGAATTCGTCAATCACTGCACGTCATCATTTTTGGATTGCGAAGAACAATCAAGCAGTAAGGTGGTGTGCATGAGACCATCACTCCCACCTGTTGGAGGTGGAAAGATTTGGCCTCGATTCAAAACCAGATTCCATCCCAATTGACCACATTCTGATAGAGATTGGGTACTATACTGGGTTTTGGCTGGCGCAGGGGTCGTAATGGCCATAACTGTAATTGGCCTTCGCTTTGTGTTGCATGCTTCTGCCTGGGAAACAAATGTCGTACCGTCGGTACACCAATCCATCGCCCGAGCATGGAGTGGACAACCCCTACATGCCAACAACCATCGACTCTGCCCAGCTTGTTGACCCAACTAACTAGCTCCCTTCGTCCACTTTCAGAGCCTACTTCCCTTCCAGACAATCCCCGATCCTACCTCCGCTGAACCACCTCTTACCACATACTTTAAAAATGCCAAAGTCCTCATCCTTCTGGACGTTCAAAGAGAAATTGGACAATCATTGCAGATACGATTGTCGATAATTCCTGCCTCATGTTGAGGCTACGGCCCATAAATGGTTGCCGAAATTGCCATTAAAACAGCAAACGGACTATGCCTATCTGGCTGCTGTGGAAGATAGTAATGAGGCACGAAAACTCAGATTTCCAGAAAGATACACTCTTCTAGATGAAGATCCCGCACATAATCACACACGCGGTGAAAACACCGGCTCATCACCGCTCCTGAATTTTTCCGGAAATTCTAAGTGACCAACGTCCGTCTGAGCGAGCCTTCTGGATTGGTTCAGTGGTTTTCCCTGTCCCACCGTTCGGCACCACGTTTTGATTGACGAAGTGTCCGTGTTTGCGGAATAAAGTGCCGTGCTGTGGAGATGGCACGGCGACTGCATCGCCTGATGCCCAAGCGCCGTGCATCGCTTGCTCGCGCACGTTCACGGGCGGAAGCCGACCACTGATGTGTAATCTGTGTCAGTCCAGAACTCGTCGTATGTGCTTGCCGGTGGAAACCGCGCGCCGACTTAGATCTGACGCAAAAGTCTTCGAAGATTTCCGCTGCATCTCATGTGGAACACCAGAGACCCACGCACCCGCTGATTTGCTTGGAACGTATCGATCATCCCCGAGCGTTGCTGGAAACAGAACGCAACCTGATGTAAACAAAAGTGGCATCAGTTACCCTAATGGAACACCGCGTATACCGAGATCGGGATCGCCCAGGACTGTGGACCTTCCACAGCTATCCCAGTGTCCGAGGTGCTCATGTGTGTTCGGGCTGGGCCCGGCTACACGCACGTGTCCTCTCTGCTCCAAAGTGGGATGTTTGAAAGCAGAAATCAACGGCCTTCTGCTTCGGGACGGAACCCTCGGCTGCAGGATTCAGGCTGTAGAGGGACGATTTGAAGACCTCATAGACAAACTTGAGGCTATCTCGGCCGGAGCGGCGGATGGGGTCCCGCGTTGCGAGGCCGCACTGGAACCCGGACTGTCCCCTCGATGCGCTGGAGACTCGATACCTCTCAACGTTCAGCTGAGCAATGCGCTATACCAGTTACAGATGTGCCGCGCAGAAAATCGTGAATTACGTTTGCGGTTCGGCATGGATCCAAACTCACGTTCGGGCCCTTCGGAATCGAACCCAGAAGCATCCATCAAAATGAACAAGAGGAGAAAGAAAGCAATGAAGAAGAAGAATAAGGAGATCCGTGTTGGAGGCTCTCAGGAGATAGACTCAGGTCAGACTGAGGGTCGACTCAGCTGCTCAGCTGCGGACGGGACCGCACGAAATGCGGACAAGAGCTCGTCCCGCCTCGGCGAGGATCTCCTCGCTAGGCCGAGATATGATGACCACACACGGAGGGCCCCGAAGATCCCGCTCACGAGAGGAAACGCCGAGTCGTCATCTGCTCTGACTACGGATCAGGATTCGTCGAAGAGGAGACTCTACCTAAACGGTGTGCGTGGTGATGCTTCAGCTCGACTTGTGTACGACCACATCAGGGATAACCTTCAGATCCCGGTCCTCTCTGTTGATAAGCTGAATTCCAAGGCGGCTGGCAGATCTTCCTTCTGCATAACCGTGGCTCGGGAGTCCTATGAGGACCTCAACAATCCATCCAACTGGGATCGCAATGTGGGCTTTCGAGAGTTCAAGGGAGTTCCCCATGCTGACAAATGCAGGGAGTCCGTTTCACAGCCGTCTGCATGACATTGTCGGACGGGCATCGCATCAGCTAAGTCAGTCTCGTGCCTGCTCTTGGATATCTGTTCTTTAAAGAAGGCAGGAGCTGTTGATGCGATGCACTCCTATGCGAAGGATAACAAAATCGATATCATGTGCCTGGTCGAGACATGGCTCACAGAAGGCGTCACCGACGCCGAGTTGTCCGATAGAGGAAACTTCCAAGTATTTCGCCGGGATCGAGCGACTCGAGGTGGAGGAGTACTCATTCTGCTCAGACGAGGACTTCAGTGCACGCGGGTCGGGAGCACCTATGCGAGCGAGCTGGTAGTCGTGGACGTTGAATGTGATGGATCGGCATTTCGACTCGTCGCAGCCTATGCTTCTGGTACGGGTTCTTCGGGGGCTAACTTGGATGAGATGAGGATGCTGACATCCGAACTTGATGAACTATGCGAAACCGACGATCCTGTGCTGATTATGGGCGACTTTGACTGCCCTAGCATTGACTGGCAGACCCGATCATCGCGTCGCTGCCCCCGTCGTGAGAAAAAATTTTTGGACTTCATCTCCTTGAATGGACTTGTTCAGTGCGTATCAGAACCGACGCGTCTCGGGAGCGACAATGTTCTCGATCTGGTGATTTGCTCTGAGGATTTCGTCGGTGAGGACTGCGTGGTGGTTCTCCGAAGTCCCGTCCGGACGGATCACTGTCTTGTCGTTACCACTCTTAAGTTTCCTGATGATTCTCAGATGTTGATACCAAAGACCAGAAACTGGCTAAAAGCTGACTACTCGTCCATCACCGAGGAGCTATGTAATATTGACTGGGATCGCAGACTATCAGTCGAATCGGTTGATCATATGCACGAGGTATTTCTCACGACACTACACTCTGTGATCGATAAGTGTGTGCCCATGAGGAAGCACTGTGCCGACGGCTCCGTTGAATTGAACATGAAAAGACTTCTCACGCGGATCAACGCTTGTGATGATGACTTTGATCTGATGAGCCTAAGAGGCTTCAGCGTGCGCTCCACCGCCAGAGATGCATACTGGAAAACACGATTGTAAGCTCGAACGATTCGACACGTTTCTACGGCTATGCGTCGGCTAGGCTCAAATTGAAGGATGAGCTATCCACGTTGATTGGACCTGACGGATCCAAAGTCTTCAGTGATCAGGACAAATCTGGTCTCCTCTGCGAACTGTTTGAGCGAACCTACCTTGAGGCTTCAGATGTGCGTACTTCTTCTACAGCGGTACTATATCCTTCGAATGTGGAACTCGTCGATGACGTGGATGTATCGGAAGATGCAGTTCTACCCGCCATATCTGAGACGAAGTGTACTTGGAGTACCAGTCCCGAGATGATACCCGCTGGATTTTTCAAAAGGACTGCACTCGGCGTCGCTCAACCCTCGAGCTTGATTTACCGAAAATCCATGAATGAGGGAGTTGTATCCCGGCTCTATAGAACCGCTTGGATCGCCCCCCCACACAAAAAGGGCCAACGTAGTGATCCCAACAACAAACGACCCGTTTCATTGACCTCAGTGAGCTGTAGGATACTCGAGAAGATAATCTGCAACGCGGTGCTGGGGAATGCCGAACGGCAAAATCTGATATCATCTCAGCAACACGTCTACCGGAAGAACCGATCGACAACAGATAATTTGCTCTCCTACTCGAATTTTGTGGCTTGCGCATTAAACAAGAAATGCCCAGTCGATGCAATATACACTGACTTCAAGAGTGCGTTCGAGAATGCCTCACGACCTTTTGCTCTCGGTTCCCCCGGCCAAGGGAGTGGGCCCGAAGATAGTCAGATGGATCTCGGAGTTCCTACGCCACAGGAGCTTCAGGGTTAAGATTCGTTACGCCCTCTCTGGGTGTGCAATGGCTACAACGGGCTGTCCTCAAGGTACGGTCCTTGGCTCTCTCCTCTTCATGTTCTTCATTGACGGACTGAAAACCGTGATACAACCTCCAATTCGGTACTATATATTTGCCGATGACGTCAAGTTCGTGGTGTCAGTGAGTGACGAGTCAGATCGGGGGAAAGATGCTTCGTTGATCATTTCGGGACGGGAGATCGTAGATTCCGGTACACTCTGGGCTCCGTCGAGCTGGGTCGATGCAGACGCAGAGGGATCTAGGCGTTCTGTTCTCGGTAAAATTGGACTCCAGAGACCACATTGAAAACGTCGTCCGACGGGCATCGATTATCACATCCTGGATTTTCCGCTCTTTCGTTCTCAAGAGTCCTTCGGCATATCTTAGGCTTTACACCTCGCATGTTCTGCCGATCCTTCTATACGCGAGCCCAGTCTGGAATCCCATCGACAAAGGCAGCATCGGGAAGATTTCACGAATGCAGAAACGATTTCTCCACCGAGTTGAGCACAGGTGTGGCATCGAGAGGGGCACTCTGGAGATTGTGGATATACATGACCGCATGAAAGCGGCTGATTTGAATTTGAAGGCGTTGAGGAAACTTATGAAATGCGATGAGTCGTTCGATGAATTCTTCATACTACTGACCATGCCGATGAGAAGAGGATTCAATCTGAGACCACATGTGATTGCCCGATCGAAGGAACTGAAGCAACACTTCGCGTGGAGAGTTGATTTGTTGTCGACATGATCAACGAACGATGATCACATGTTCTGTTTCAAGATATACCTTTGTTGCACAAAATAAAGAGTTTTCCCATTAAAAAAAATATACCCGATGTGAAAATTAAGTACATAATTGAAAAGGAGCAAGAAGACTGGAAAGATACCATGGACTTCGAGGTCCTACGCCGAAGTGCCGGCCCTACTGAGGGCAAATACGACAAACCGCCACTCTTCGTGACAACTACGCCTTGTCCACAAAGCGACGAATGGCTAATGCTCACCAGCTCACACGCTCACCAGAACCCCATAGTTCGACTGAGCCATCAACAGAAACAGATGGAAGGCCCGCAGATATCGAAACAACGGTGATCACCAACACCGAAATTCACTCGCCGGCCTTACAATCGCCGCCGATCTCATCAGAGATCGAGGTCATCAAAACTGGGGAGAAGGAATTCCTCAATCATGGACCAGTTGACTCGATCATCTCGAACGCTGATCGCCGCACCTTCGACAAATTGGGAATTACACCCACTTCGGCCCGAGGTCAACAGGCTGCGAGGGTGTTCAATGCGATTGAAGAACAATTCGTGATCGCGGCGGCCTTCATCAGTGAGGACCTGGCCGACACTCTGGAACTGCGTCGTGGAAAAGCGCTGCACGAGCTGGAAAATTCCCAAAAGAAAATACTCGATTTGAGAAGTAAGCTACGAGATGAGAGGTTAACCACGGCGTGTCTCCAACAGTCGGAACATCGACTCAAAGGAAAGGTGAATGAGCTAATCAGACTCTATGTTCCAATCGAAAAACGCATTCCCGCAGAGGACAACTTACCATTCAGCCCAACCTTACATCGATTCGAGGGGACTTCTTGAAACACATGCCAATAACCGAAGCCAGACGTTGGTGATCCCTCTACTTGAGGAACGAGATATTATTATGACGAAACAAACATACTGAATGATTCATCAGATTTCGATATATTTCTCATATCGCGCACAAATTTCAATCTTGACGCCCTCGCCACGGGTTGCATCAACCTCGTCGGGTTTCACTCCTCGCCCTTCCGCTAGCAGGATGCACTGCCCCCGCAGTTTGGAGTAGCAATGGAGGCGCCCTTCCTCCACGATGCAAGCCAATGATTCAAGTGACAGAGCCTCCCTCGCCTTCCCCGGTGTGCCTCGAACGCTGGCTCCTACGCGACTAGACACACTGGTCGTCGTCACGGCAGAAAACTGCATCGAGTATTTTGCGTTACGTGCAAAATGGACCTCCTGAGAGACCCAAACTCCTGCGGACCGAAGACATATGTTGTCTTCCTGGAAACTCATCCTTCATAGATGTAATGTGTGCTTCTTAATGATCCTTTACTAACCTGCAGAAATGATACCACTGCACACAATCACTGAAGCAGCTACAATCATCCAAAATCTCCATCTGCTAACCGATCGCCTTTGCGAGTCTTGTCTGTCGATCCCTTCCACGACATGCATCGGCTGCATGCCATTTCTTAAAGAGTACCCGTAGCGATCTATGGCCTCTCGGGCCGCGCGTAGCTGTCGGCGTTGGCCTTCGCGTTCGCTGGGGCGTGGCTGGGGCGGTCTTCCCGATTCACGATCAAGACCGAGAAGCCCCAGCCCCCACTCTGACCATGTTGGAGTGCTGCTGACTTCGGGCATGCTCTCCGATGGTAGTCTTCGGCTTCCAGAACGTATATTCCGCTTCCTACTAATGCCGCAGGTGCTCCGACCGGAACGGAGGATCATTGGGGTACTCTGGCTGACGAAGCTCCGGAGGGCAAATCGAAGAACGACCCGAAGAAGAATCGAAGAACGATCTGAACGACGCAGTTCTTCCGACGAACTCCAACGACTTGAAACCTAACGGAAACCTAACCTCATCAGAATTTCGATCTCTCAGTTCAGCCATGAAAAATTCAGAATAACACTACAGGATTCCCACTCTCTGTGAGAGGGGAGGCAGAACCCTGTATCCATAATATTCATCCACGGAGATCGTGATTCCCGTCTCTCCGATGGAAATTCAATGGAAAATTAATGGGAATTCTTTTTCCGGCGGAGGTCTGCCGCACTGCCCCCTGGCGCTGAGCGCTGGAGAAACGGCCGTGTGCAGGCCTACTGCGCACCTAACCGGACTTGTCGCATATCGATCGGACATGCGAAAAACGGATTCAGGGTTTGAACAGCGAGCGACGATTCAATTTCTTGAGGAAGTTTCATCGCTCCGATACTCTCAGAGGCTGAATGCTGAAAGTGAATTGTACCCGGAGCCTGACTGCTCCCTCATCCTGAAGACACTCGGACTTAGCAGTTAGGGGAGGTGTTGAGGTTCAGGTAGGAACTGGGAACTACTAGTCCTCGTTCCGTACTAGGACTATGACTCATACCAACCCACGGGGCCATATACCCGTGGCAGTAGTAAAATACGTGAGTCACCGGGGTTGCACCCCGAGGTTACGACTCTAGCATGATACCCTTGAGGTAGTACGAAATCGGGCTAGCATCCCACATGCTGGGTACACCCAATAGTATTCTAGGACGCTGCTTATGATAGACCAGGGTAGCCTTATCCTATGTATATGTACGAACGGATCAGGACATGTAAGGAGGAGCTTAGACTCCTGCCTAGGTACATATAAAAGACCTAAGATTTCGAATAAAATTCACTGTGGTATCTGCCTCTCGTGAGATCGCATCTCTGTGTATCCCTGAACGGGCTGCTCTTCTACTCCTGACCAGAGCTACGAATCTTGACCTTCAACACATTGAAACAAGCAGGTCTCACAGTCAGGGTCCAGAAATGCAAATTCTTCATGAAGTCAGTACAGTTTTTGCGGAGTTTCGTTTCGAAGGTGTCGGCTTCGGTCTTCTGGAGCTCTTTTGATAATTGAATATTTTATGCACAGCATAGATGCCTCAATTCCCGTTTCCATTTTTCTGGATGGGATCGGATGCTTTCTGAGCTTGACTGATGTTCTCGGTCAGAACCACTACGCCACAGAGCTTCTTTTTGTCGGCACACTGAAGAAGCAAGCTTCTCGTGAGCTTGCCGTCGCTCATGCCGCCGATGAATTGCTCAATCAAATCAGTCTGAAGCTCGTCCGGAGACCACTTGCAATCCGTACACGCTTTCCTTAAGCGGTCCTCGAATTCAAGCAAGGTCTCGCCTGACTTTTGATTCAGCTTCCAGAACTCTATACTCGTCGACTAGACATTCTTCTGCGGTTCGTTAATAATTGATTTCACGAGTTCGACGATTCCTCAAAAAAAAGAAGATCACTCGAGATCGAGTCCATCTTTATCCCGTATCGTTCACGGTTTCGTAGAATCAGGGCTGTTGTGAAGATTTGACCATCTTCGTCGCCAGCTGCTGAGTCCAGAAAGTATCAGAAGACACGATGTTAACGCTACGAGAGTCAGTTTCCAACTGAGACGTTTATTAGCGTAGAATTACGCTCTAGGGTTCGGGTAGGAGGGTCGGATTCGGGAAAAAATTGTGAGTCAATTTTCTCAGAGACAAAACCTCTATCGAAGAAAAGTCCGATGGTCAAACATCTCTAGGAAGACGGTCAATACTCCCGAAAATACCGATTTCGATTAAGCAACGTTTGACGTCAGATTTTGGGACGTAAAATCTACGTTTCTGCTGTTTTCTCAGGAAGGAGACGTCGAAAGCGAGAAAGTGTGATGGCTGAAAAGAATCAGCGTCACTTTTTCCGTCTGATCGGTATTCGTATTCCGACAGAGCGCGTCTGTTGTTACTTTACACTGTATCCCGTCGTATATCGCACTTGGATCATTTTCAGCAAGGTCAGACAAGGGGATAACGAAGTTTATTCGAGCTCTGAATCAGAATTCAGGAATTGAGAAACGAAGTTTGGTCAATATTGGGTGGAGAGTCAGCTAGATCATTCAGCTCTGGATTCAGGAATTAGAGATTTATTGCTCTTTTATTGTACTCATGTGTTTATCGCTTATATTTTATTATACTCATGTGTGTTTATTGAGTATATTTTATCATACCCATGTGTATGTATTGTGTATATCTTATTATACTCATGTGTGTTGATTGTGTATATTTTATCATACTCATGTGTGTTTATTGTGTATATTTCATCATACTCATGTGTGTTCATTGTGTATATTTTATTATACTCATGTGTGTTTCTTGTGTATATTTTATCATACTCATGTAGGTTTATTGTGTATATTTTATTATACTCATGTGT